CTGCGGCTCGTGTTTTCTACATTTCCCTCGTGTTCTCAAATAATGATTGACGCAGCAAAACGGCCTAATCTAATAATGACAATACAAATTGCACTTAGGACAGTAACTACATACATACAAAAGCGCCAACTGCATCTAAAGGTATTATAGAACAAAAGCAAAAGATAAAAAGACGTTCGTTTATATCATAATATCCAACTGGCCAACTAGTTTTGTGGTTTTTTGGTTCGAGTTTTCAGGACGTTCAGAGTAGGGTACCACTTGTTTTGCCAATCGATAGGAATCGATAAATGGCTTTTCTGCGACTATCGATTGATCATCGATTAATCAATATCAATCGATACCAACTAACTAATTTTGTCGATTGAAATCGATCCATCTACTGCTTTTCCAATCGTCCATTTCCATCGATTAGGGGTGGCGAATGGTCCTTCAAAAACTCTGGGTCGCAAAAAATTTTATAGTCGAATTTCACGGGTCTCGCAGTATCGTTTTTTAGCAGTTATGTGCGTCTCGCAGTCTCGATTTTTATACGAAGCTGTCTCCGAGTCTCGATTTTTCGCAAGGCTAAAGGGGTTCAAAGTCCCGATTCGTTCGTTCATCTCAGGTTTTATAAATAACATCTTCTCTTCACTTGACACGGCATTGAATTTCAATGAAGCAACTTACAAATTCCAGAGAAAAATTTAATCCTAACTTCACCTAAATTGTCTGAATTCCACAAAAAGCTACAAAACCTACCGCAACGTCCGTTTTGGCTCCAGTAAAACAGTTATTTTGTTCTGCGATATCATAACGTAATGTGTTATAATGGAATTTCCAGCTCCAGCCACTTTGAAGAAGCTGGCTAAAAGGCTGCAAAAGCTCGTTCTAGCTCTCAACTAAATCTAGGACCCAAATTTTAAAAGTCTGAACGTCTTGCGCTCGCACGTCAATTTAAAATGTCAAAATGTCTTGGGCTCGCAGAGGAAAATGCTTGTCTCGCCGTCTCGTATTTATCATTCGCCAACCCTAATATTGCGCCGGACTGAAAAGAAGAGTTCAAAACAATCATGTAGTGTTCCAAAATTATGTCCATAACAGCCACCCCTCAATGAAATGGAGCCTTGTTTTCCATCATGCAATACAGCTTAGAAGCAAACTTTGCTTAAAACACAAAATGCCTTTCTTAATTCTCATAATATTTTCATTTTACAAATTA